GGAGAAAGGGCAGTTATTGTTTAATGGGTACCAAATTTCTGTTTGGGATGATAAAGAAGCTCTGGAAATGGACAGTGGTGACAACTGCACAACATTGTGAGTGTATTTAGTATCACTGAAGTGTACACTGAAAAATGGGTAAGAAGGTAAATTTTATGTTTCTGTATATTTTCTCAAAAAAAAAATGTAAATGGATAAATAAACTCTGGTTTATCCATACAATGAATATTATTCAGTGCTAAAAAGAAATGAAGGCTGAGCGTGGTGGCTCACGCCTGTCATCCCAGCACTTAGGGAGGCTGAGGCAGGTGAATCGCTTAACCTGGGAGGCAGAGGTTGCAGTGAGCCGAGAGTGCGCCACTGCACTCCAGCCGGGGCAACAGTGAGACTGTCTCAAAGAAAAAACCAAAACAAACACAGTGCCATCGTGTTGGACATAGTGGGGCCCCCTCTTGGGTTTCCTCCTTGCGGCACAGACTCAACAGACTGTTTTACTTTCTCATGCCTCTTTCCAGTTGCCACTTCCTCCTGGCTGGTCTTTCTGCACCCCAGAATGTGGACCCGCCCCAAAAGCAGCCATGCTCTGTGGGGCCCTGTGCAGACCCTACAGACCCAGGCCCAGGTGAGAACAGCCCATCTCAGCATGCTCGCCCTGCGCCGGGCTGGGGACCACGGTGATGGGCAGATCCATCCACATCCTCCAGGGGCTCACAGTGTAGGGGTGTGGGCTGGCATTCACCAAGCAACCCTGCAAACACATCCTTAACCCCACAGATACCTGCCCTCCAGAGAACAACAGGGGGGCCATCCTGGTTCACAGGGTCCCTGGTGATGCCCACGTTGAGGCCATCAGCCACCCCATCATCTGGCTGAAGCCACTTGCCATGGGCCGCGCAGGGAGGCAGATGGCTGGGGGCTGACTCAGCCCTCACCTGCACTGAGTCCGCCAGCAGCCCCACCGTGGTGAGGAAGCTGAGCGCAAGGCCGTCAAGTGACCTGCCAAGGCCACACGGACAGGCCCAGCTGGGCGGTTTGGGTCCAGCGCCTACAGTCCTCTAGTTAAAAGAACTAAGATGAATTAGCCAAGATTCACAGAGCAATCCCACACGTCTGGCACTCTGTGAGCCCTGAGTCTACCTACAACCTTCATCCTTCCAACAGCCCTGCAACATAGGGACAACCAGCAGCCCTGTTTTCAGATAGGGAAACTAAGGCACAGTGAGACGATAAGGTACCTGCCCAAGACTGCAACCAGATACGAAGTGACAGATCAAGATCCAGGCCCAGGCACAGCCGTGTTGAGGACCACCTCTTGACATCCAGACATTCTGCCTCTCTAATTAACATGCGACTTCACTGTAATCAGCGACAGCAGTCTACTCCCTGCCAGACCAAGAGACCAAGAGCAGACCCAAGGCTGTCCTCCCCAGCACTGCCCACTTGGCTAAGAATCCAGTAGTTAGGTGCTCACTAAAGAGTTCTGCAGGCTGGACGTGGTGGCTCACGCCTATAATCCCAGCACTTTGGGAGGCTGAGGCAGGTGGATCATGAGGTCAGGAGTTCAAGACCAGCCTGGCCAACACGGTGAAACCCCATCTCTACTAAAAATACAAAAGAAATTAGCTGGTCGTGGTAGCACACGCCTGTAGTCCCAGCTACTCAGGAGGCTGAGGTAGGAGAATTCCTTGAACCCGGGAGGCAGAGGTTGCAGTGAGTCAAGATAGCGCCACTGCACTCCAGCCTGGGTGACAGAGTGAGACTCTGTCTCAAAAAAAAAAAAAGAGTTCTGCAATGAATGGTCCAAGGCCCAAGGGCAAGCACGGTAGGTGGACGGTGGCCAGCATCCTGTAGCGGCCTCCTGCTGCCCTGCAAGCCGCTAACCAGGCGGAGCCTCCGCTGCTGCACAGCCATGAGTCACCATGAGCCGTGAGTCAGCTGGCACAGGCCGCAAGATCTGGGGGCTGAAGCCAGGCTCCGCGGCTTGGGGGCTCTGTGCTTCCTGTGGTTGCGAGTTGTGCACACAAACACGCAGCACTTGGAAGCCAGAAAAGGCACGAGAAACGAAACCATCTCAGTGCCAGCTCCCGATAAACAAGTCCCTGAACTGTTTTTATAGGACAAAGGAAGATGGCTTGCTCTGGCACAGACCCGGCAAGCCTTCACCATGCCCTACATCCCCTTTCTTCTTGCCAAGCTGGCACCAGCACTATAGACCCCCCACTCTATCACCCCAACATGAACCTTCTTATCAGCTCAGACTGATGCCCTCAGCCTGGCATTCGAGGCCCCACGGGAGCTGGCCCCACCCACTCTCACCCGGCCCTCCAGGCCCATGAGACTTCCTGCGTGGCAGTCCCCAACAGCACCATCCTGTCTGGGAACCTTGCCCCAGGCTGAGAATACCTGCTCCTCGGTTTCCACCTGGTTAATTCATGTTCACCTTGCTATCCTACGTGCAAGAGGGCTTCCGAAGCTCCTGTCATCCCCAACCAATTGGAGTCCAGACACTTGGGCATCAACCTCCCCTCTCGAATTTCTTTTTTTTTTTTTTTAGACGGAGTCTTGCTTTTTTTTTTTTTTGCTAGTAACCAGCGTCCCAGCAGCCCAGACACACCGACAAGCTGAAGTCTTTCTAACAACTTCAGAGACATCATGCTTTCCTTTCTTTCTTCCTAGGTTCTCCTCCTTC